ATAATAATATAATTATTATATAATAATTTGTTCAAAAAAAAAAAAAAAATCAATGGGAATTAACTGTTACTATTGACTATTACAATTAAACTAGTTGTAATCGGTAAAGGGGGTGTATAAAAATGATTGTCGGTTCATAAAAGAAGAAGAAGAAGAAAAAAAAAAAGAAGAAAAACTTACGACCTTAAAGCATCGTCGAAATTGAATGAATATGCGCAATCGCATATTCGTTAACGCGAATAGTGTTCGCAATTTTTCAGGATACCCACCTATGTGCACCGTGCACTCTATCTAATTATGATCGTCTAACTGGGAGCGCCGCAGGAAAAAAGTAACCGCCCACGCCTCTCGTACTCTTTCAAAGCTAAGAAACCCTACGTACAAATGTGTCTAAGTATATGTGTAGATACAAATATAACTATACAAATCGTACAACGTGTATGCATGTATGTAACTATTTGCGATAACGAGATATCATGCACGAGATAGAAAATTTTTAACCGATAAAATTGCTCAACTCTCCTTCCTCGTCACGAAAAACCTAAGAATCTAGGACGAAAGTAGGATTATTTTTTGATACCAAGTTTCCACGTGTCCTTTCGATCATCGATTTCACTCATTTACGCGTTCAATTGCCCCTATTTTAAAGTCGCAATATCGAGAAATGAAAATAATTGTCCTTGCTTGCTTCCTTCGATCAACCAAGTTTATTTCTAATTTTTTTTTAAATGATATTTACACATAACTTTAATTTATTTTTGTATTATTTGAAAATAATTGTATATATCGTAGCATGTGAAACTTACCTCGACGTTAGATTGATTGATTTTTGTGTCGAAGGAATTAATTGTTTTCTATTTTTATACTTATATTTATGAATTTTCTAATAGCAATAATTAAATTTATTATTTAAGAATAATTGAATCATTTTTTTACGAATGACAAGGTTAAATCTGTGATCATCCAGTGTATCATAATTATTAAAAACCTTTTAGTTGGAAGAACGTTAATACTTTCGTTCAAGGCCACTTAAAGGTCATTAAATTTTAAAATCACTATTATGTGATGTGAATAAAAAATTACTAATATTTTGAGTATTTTTTAATAACGCTAAAATATGTATTTATAATAAAATTGTTAAATAAATTGTCTATAATTTCTATGATATCTTGATCTTCAAACGTGTATATCGTTATATACCTACACTCATGTATTGTATTTTATTTGATATTGATTGTTAATTTGAAAATAATTTATAGGTCACACATTTATAAGTTAATGTTAGTTAAATATGAAATATAACTTAACACACATTATATAATTTTCGTTGAAATATGAATAGGGTGCACATTGTGTATAAATTTAAAGTAGCTTTCAAAGATTACATATCATCGGGTACGATTTGTATGTTTACGTTCTGAAGGATAAAATTTGAAATGACGCATTCCTAGAACTTTAACGATTAATTTATATTCCGACGTTCTTGCCAACTATTCGAATGCGTATCAAAAAAAAATGATCATCGCTCGTTGTTATTCTCATTTTCTACACTTAGAAATATTTAACTCGCATATTTTACGATCAACGAAGTGTTTAATTATTTACAAACTTTCTCCAATTAAACGATCGGTTTGTTAGATTTTCGATTGTATATTTGATCATTTGATTAAATATTTTTATTCCGAGATAAAAAAAAAAAATAGAAAAGGAAAAACACTTACAATAATTTGTCTAATTTATCTCGTATTATTATTATTATTATTATTATTATTATTTTTCAATTAAACGAATAATCTTTGATGCAAGATGTGTGAATTCTTTCTAATTCGAAATAATCGGATAAGATACACCATAATTTTACTTGGAGGATCTTTATCTTTAATATTATTGCACTTTCTCTCAATTATTAATTGAATTTGGTAGTTGTGTGTGTGTGTGTGTATTTTTATATTCATGAACCTTAGATGCATAAATATATCCGATTCTTCGAGAATTTATATACTTTCAAACTTTTTTTTTCTCAAACATTCGAATTTAAAAGTTCTCCCCTATGGAATTTTATCACTAAGCAAGAGGTAAGGAAAATTTAACATGTAAATTGTTTTCGATGGTTCGTGGTTAAGGTCTAAGATAAGGGCATCGTTTCGGCTGATAGATTTATGAGAGTGATTTGAAAAATAATCTTTGTACGTTTCATGCGCATGAAAACGATCATTTTTCATTCCGGAAATTAATTAGATATCAATAATAAAACAAATTCTTCTTTAAAATAAAAAAAAACAAAACGAAAAATTCTACATAAAATCTAATCCCAACAAATATTTGAATTATTTGTAATTATTTTTTTTTTTTTACCAATGCAATAACAATTTTCAGACATAATTTCAAAGGATATGCAAACGAACGTTAAATTTCGATTATTGATCAAATTTTAATAACAATTTTTATTTTCTTTTTATTTTTTGATTTTTTTCTGAGGGATAAATTTTTACATTTTTTTGTTTTCTCGAAGTATTCAATATAATGTTTTTGTTTGAAATCGAACAAAACAACAATCAAACAAACTCAAATGTCATTCAAATGTTTCATGGTTTGTGAATCTACGTGGAAGTTACAATTGATTGACAGATGACGTGTTTACAAAGCGAGAGAAACATATAACACACAGTATAAAAACATTTTATTATTCGTTTTAGTATGCTCACCATGGAATTTATTTTAGAAATTGCAAGACTAGATCGCATTCGTTTACTAAATAAAATGGTAGTACATTCTAAAAGAGTAGGGCATCCTTCGTACGTTGTACTAAACAAGGAAAGAATATAATAAGAAATAAAAAGAGAAAGAGAGCGTGTAAAACTTCCGGTTGAAGAGAATTTCACAATAATAAAGTATTAAATTTACCAGAAAATTATACGTATACATGTAATAAAAAAAAAAAAGATTATAGTTCGAGTAAGTGTTATTCACATTTTAATGAGAACTATTTGAATACCAAAAAAGTGACAGACATTTTTCATTTGAACAAATTTAAGTATCCTCTCATTCTTCTATTCTATAAAATTCATCTGAAAAATGTTTTACATAGGAAATAATTAATTCTTATAATATTATTTAATTATATCGTAAAAATAAAGTTTAGGAAAAAGTTTAGTTAGTAAAAAAAGGAAAGAAAATAGAAAAGTTTAGTATAATCAGAGACACGAAAAGTAAATAATAGTGAAAAACATGATTTACGAAATTATAATATGTAAAAGAACTTCTATCAACGGGATCGTCAAATAAACAATCTATTTCAAAATTACAATCCGTTAAAAGTACATCAAATTCTTTCAATCTTTTCATCTCCGAAGTTTTTCTCACAATTCTTTTCCAAAACTTCTTCTCCATCTCGTGATCTTCGAAATTGTTGAATCTTCTTTTTCAATTCAACAAAAACAAAAAAGTAATAAGAACAAACGTATCTTTAAAATAATCATCTATCATACGAATACATTTTTTCATTTTTAACTCTAATCCACCTTTCGATTATCAAAATGATTAAAATTAGTTTCCAATCAAAAAGAAAAAAGAAAAGAAAAGAAAAGAAAAAACAAAATAGAAAAAAAAGGATGACACGCGTGATAGTTGAAATAAAAAAATTAGTTAAGAAATGAGTAAAAGAAGTTTTTCGGTAGACCTAATATTTTCAAAGTCGAGGTTGGGATAGGAATCGGTCGATAAAGTTGTCGTAGAAGGTCGAGGAGACAAGGGCCAGGAGAAATAAAGAGGTGAGAGGTCTGACTCACCTGGCTACCAGGCGGAGAAAAGAAATTTTCATCATCTGACCCCTGACATCGATGGTAGTCGAATTAACGCGCGGACGGATTAAAAGGGAAAGTAACACGGTAAGGGACAGACAAAGACAAAGACAAAGAAAAAAAGAGAGAGAGAGAGAGAGAGAGTAAGAAAATAAGAACAAGAAACAGTTAATAAGAAAATAAGATAGAAAGATAGATAAATAAATGCTAAAGTGTAAGAGAAAGAGAAAGATAGATAGAGAAAGGGTTAGAAAGAGAAAGAAAAAAAGGAGAAAAGACACTAAAGGAGTCGAAGAAGTCGGCCGGAGCCGACTCACGGATGGAGACTGAGAAAGGACGAAAGACGACGTTTGAGACCACCCTTGCGAGTGACCATCTAACTTGGGGGGGTTGTTGCTGGTGGTAGTGGTAACACCACTGCCGTAATAGTAGTGGTGAGGGTGGTGGTAATATTCTTAGTAGTGGTGGTAGTGGTGGTGGTGGTGGTGGTGGTGGTGGTGGTTTGCACTTGAAAGTCCACCTCACTCGATTACTAAAGCTCCCAACTTATTATTCTTCCCTCAGCTGAACACCTTTCTTTACTTCTTTCTTTTTCTTTGTTTCTTTTTTTTTCTTTCTCTGACAATTATGAACGCCAAGTACAACGAACGTAAAGAACGTCTTTGCAGCACCGCGAACGCGAGCTTACTGACTTTGTTCAGTTTAACGCTGGCCAACGTAAGAGTTGGCGCTGATAAAGTCCGAGACCAACTCGATACGACTTTTCACTAATCGAGGAAGAACTTATGAAGTCTTTTACTTTCTCTCTCTCTCTCTCTCCTACTTTTAAACAACATAATGTATATATTTACTTATCTTCATTTTTCTTTTCTTATTTTTTTTGTTCATACTTTCTCATTAGTTTCTATAAATTCTCATCGTTCAAATACACAGAAATTTGTACTTCAAATTGTTTTTCTTTTTCTTGTTGTGTTTTTACTCGTTAAAAAAATTATTTTTTATATTTTCTCATTGTGGGGACACATATGAGCCGTTTATTTTGAAAATGGCATAAGTCACTATTTTTTTTTCTTTTTTTTTTTATTGAAAATGAAAAGATACCGTTCAGTTGTAATTAGTGTTGCCATTAACTCGGTTTTTTTGAAAAAGTGACTTATGCCACTTTCAAAATAAACGGCTCATATACTGGAGAAATTTTTATTTGAAATTGTTTTTTTTTTTATTCATTAAGAACAGTTTATTATTAACTAAACAATAGGACATTAATACTTTTCTTTTTTTTTAATACTTTTTCATAAATTTCTTTTACGCGCGCAAGATTTTTATTTGAAAAATTATTGTTTTTTTTTGTATTCATGAAGAAAACAGTTAGATTAATAAAAGGGTAAGAAAACAAATGTGTATATTCATTGTTATTTTATGTGTGTATATTATTGTTTGAAAGTAATAAAAGGATGATAGCAACGATAACCCCAAAGATCAAGTCTCATTGTCATTTCATTGACGTTCCTTATTTTCGTGCGGATTTAAAATTAGCTCGATCGATGTTTGGCTTGCTTCTGATAGGAGAACACGTGTTTCGAAAAGGTTATTGACTCGATGAAACAGCTGACTTTACTTTAGTCTTGAAAAATATTCTTAAAATATCTACCAAATAATAATGATAATAATAATAATACTAATTATTATATGATAAAATAATGGTAATAATAATAATAAAAAAAAAAAAACACAAAAATGATAATAATAATAAAAAGAAAAAAGGAATAGTGGTATCGGTAATGAAACATGCTTGTTCGTGATATAAGCTTCGAATTACTTATCTCGGTGCTTTTTTTTCAACGAAAACGAATATGATGACCAAATAATTGGGCTTCTATGTAAGAGAGATAGATCACTTGATTTCTTAAGTTCCGTTGCTTTGCGATCGATAAGACTAGATCCGTTAGGCGCAACAGACCATAAATTTCTTTCATTACTAATTGCCTTTCCCCTTGCTATATATCTTTCCAAATTGAAAATAATTCATTTTTCTTATCTTATTATATCGTTTCTTTTCTTTTTTTTCTTAAATCTATTTTTTAATAATTTGTACAATCACAAGAAGATAAAGTATGTAGTTTTTATCATCGTAATTCGTGATTTATTCATATTATTGATTTTTATTAATAACGTTGCACATATACAAGATTGATTTATAGAATTCTAAGATTATTAATTTATTTTTTAACGAGTACTTGAAGTAACAGCAATATTTTTTCAACAATATTATAATATTAAAGACTCATATCTTAAAATGAAAAACAAAATATTACAATTCTATTAATAATCCAATAATTGATTTTGACGTTTGTTTTATTTTTTATTGGTAAATCGACTTTTTGGGAACACTGTGTATATATTTAAGTAATTTATTTATCTTATATTGTATAAAAATTTATTAAATATAATATAATTCCATATGCAACAAACTTATCGGACTCTCAGTCCAAATCTAACACGTAAAATATTTTAAAATGCTTATAATTTTCTATGTAAAACGCAATCGTTAATGTCGTTAGTGTATTAACGAGAATTGTACTGAAAGGAGACAAAGAGTAATGCAAAGCTTATTTATCGTGCACGTTATTAAAAATAAAAAGGAGAAGAAAAAAACAAGGAAAGGGCAAAAGGCTAAGTATATAACTTGATCGTTGACATGCAAGGTGAATACTTACGCGCTATGAAGATTCATTATAAATTTCATTAAATTATTTTATAAATATATACTAAAATTCTTTTTCTTTTTAATAAAATTTGATATAATATTTATGTATAATAATGTTAATTAATATTTGTAACTACGAAGAACGAAATGTGATATTTCAAGTAGCATCGCCATTTTGGAAAATGGCACGCTTCGATGATAAAACTTTGAATTTATATCAAACGAATTCAAATATTGTCGTATAGTAACGCGTTAAAATATTTAAATAATTAATCCATCGATTTATAAATCCAAAACAAATTTTTCAAATTGACGCGTTTCGGTAATATCCATTAAAAAGTTGAAATTAAAAACAAATGAATTCTTACGACACGTAGCAGTAGTAATGCGTTAGAGTATTAAAATGAATGACACACGAAAAATTTAAATACAGAGCTATATTGTCCCACATTTATTCAAGCAGACTTATTACAATAACTTCGTAACAAGTATAATTCACCTTTGGTAATACGATCATCGTTCGTTAACTTAATTATTAATTCACTGGTATTAGGTATATACGAACAATTTTGGTATGAAACCATAATAATAATAATAATAATAATAATAATAATAATAATAAAATTAATAATAATGATTCTTTATCATATAACGAAATCCTTTTTTTGTATTTTTCTTTAATAACATCTTATTTTTCTATATCTCTTGATTTTATCGAGTTTCTTCAATTATTGAAATATCCTTCGAACGCGATTAGGTTTAATATTAATATTGTCGTTTCTTTCTTCACAGTCAGGCAACATACACACATTATTTACTTACTTATTTACTTACTTATTTACTTACATACACACATACACACGCACACACATTCAACGAAAAATATATTATTTAATGTAAGAATCATTTTTAAGAGGGCTAGAAGGGGGAAAGGGAGCTTTTCGGATAGCCCCCCAGGTCCCAAAATGGATATTCTACTAACCTGCTTGATTACTATTGTACCTCCCAATGATCGTAGTGCAGCATTAAAGAATAAACGTAAGTATGTAAAATCAGCTAAGATTTTTTTTTTTAGAGATTTAGAGAGGCAATATTATATTTTATCTATTTAGATTATTTATAGGTATCTTCTTGATTGCGGTGAATAGTAATGAATACTTTTTGTGCAACGATAAATTACCATCTGCTCGACATTTACGATCAATCATTTATTTGTTTATCGGTAGCTTTATATTGAGATTAGCTTTGCATTATTTTTCTTTAATAGCGGCTTTAATTTTTGTAACTTGATAATTCTTCTTTTAATATCGCTCTTCATTTGATAATATTATAGAATAATTTCTTTGTATGCTTTAAAATTCTAGTATCAGTGGTATTATCGCATATACCAATAATACAATGAGTCGTAACTTTTTTTATTTGTTAAGATATTTTTGATATTTTTTTGCTTTTTTTTTTGTCTTTTTTGTATTTGAGGATTTATTTTATGCCAATTGGAGAGAGTTTACGAGTGATCAATTAGAGATCAGAATTAGTTCCATTAAAATATTGTAATATTAATATAAGGCGACAAGAATTTTATTAGCGATATTGTAAAAATGATTTGAATAACTTATAATACATTATGAATTTTTTGTATCTAATTTCAGTTATTATTTATTAGTAATAATATGAAAAGTAAAAGCTATAGGCCGAAGTTAATACAAAGACACTATTCTTCAGGTATCCTTACAGATTTAATATACGCAATAATAATGATCTATATTCTATACTTAAATGAAAATTCTTTAATCTTTTGCATTGACATGTACACGTAGAACTCCCATTCTAAATGACTCAACTTGGTACAGCCTTAGTTTATCGTATTTTTACAAAAAATAAGACTCTGATATTATTAAAAGGAACTTCCTGCAAAAGTAGCAATCTTTGAAAAGAGCCAAAACGCTTAAGTCTATGATCCTAATTTATCGTGAGATCTTTGGGCATGAAGCCTCTTGTAACTCTTCCTATATTTTTCAATCGTAATATCGGTATTATTTACGTCGGATAAACTAAGCGTTACTGGATCTAAACTCGCTGCTAACTTTAAATACGTTTCTTCCATTTCTCTTGTTATCTTAACTTCGTAACTGTTATCGAGAGAATTTTTATCATTTACGGACAAATGCGATTTTTCATCTTCATTAGGTATATCAAATGTAATTAGATCTTCTTCCTTGTCGTCTATCGGCGTACTATTAACATTCGTCGCGGTAAATGAAGAATTTACTTCTTTATTACTATCTATTTCCTTATTTAATTCTTCTTTTTTATTTATATCATGGCATTGGTTGTTACTTAATTGAAAAGGTTTATGATTAGAAGTAGTTTCGTTCGCGTAAGCAAACAAACAGGTTTCTTCTTTCTTCCCGTTATTATCTTTCATTTTTAAACCATTAAAATTATTTTGTACAGAATTGTCTATGCAAGCGGACGATTGAACCCATTCCGCTACTCTTTGTAACTGGTTACTATCTTGTAATAAAACTGAATGTTTGTCATTAGTAACAGACGGTAATCTCTCTGATCCAATCGTAGTAGTTTTTTTTGTGTGCACTAAAGCTGCATTCGGTTTACTATTTCCATTTGTAAATAAGGTTGCTTTACAATATCCAGCATTATCTATAGGAATATTTTTGGATCCATGAGTCGTTACCCGAACAAGACAAGATCTTGAACCTAATGTACGATTATTGGAATTAGATTTTTGATTATTAACTGAATTAATTGATTGTACTCCACTAGAAGACTGTAAAATATCGCTAGAGCTACTAGGAGGATCGGAGGTCGAAATGACAACACTGTCGCTACTAAAACTCGGACTAGTAGCAATTTCAACTTGTCGACAATCATTGTGAGCCATTACATTGTCTATATTTTTCACTTCAATCAAAGTTAAATGAGTAGGATTCTGAGGCTCCGTCCACATTCTATTATTTTTCCAATCTCTACTATTAATAATATCTATTGCTGTATCACTAATAACATTATCATTACTTTTATCTTTCGAATTCATATCCGATTTCGCTTTTATCCATTCATTCTTCCATAATCTGTCGTTAATAATATCTATTTGAGTCTGTTCATTATTGCTAAAATATTTTTTCGTGTTTTCAGGCGTAGTATGAGAACAGGGAGAAGTTTCAGTTTCACATTTAGTCCAATTGCTTGTATTAGATTTAGTAGCATCTAATGGAAAATCAGATTTTTTACTTGTTCGTGTTTGTTTTGATTGATCTCCACTAATGCTATTAACAGTATTAGTTGACATAATATTATTAAAGGTAACAGACGTACTAGAAAGTGGAGGAATATTGGTTATTATATTAGAAGACGTATTAATATTTCTGTTGCTTCTTAAAGATGTTTGCTTGTCACTACTTAATATTTCAACCTGGGTATGAGTTTCCATATTGTCTTGTCGCATAGAATCCTTTTTATTATCATCCCTTAAGTCTGGTAAATTTTTATTACCTTTAATGGCAAGTTTATTATCTTTAACATTATATAAATACTGCGTGGAATTTGAATATTTTGTACAATCTGAATTATTATGAAAATGGGTGGTACTATTGTCGACACCATCTTGGCAATGTCTTTGAAAAATCAAGTTTGCATTAGAATTTTGATTACTTCTAGTTTGGAACGATTTATTAACTTTGTTTAAATATTCCGAATGCTTCTCTTCAGTCTGTACATGTCTCAAAGTGCATTCGTTACATGAAGCATCAGAATTATTTACCGTCTGACATTCGGCATCGATCAATAAAATACTTTTATGACATGTGCACGTATCACAGTGTTTAGCAAAAATTCTTTCTTTTTCTCTGTCTTCCAATACTTTGGCCATAATAGCAGCCGATACTACATCAATGGGAGGCTTAGATTCTTCTATGTCATCTTCATCGCTATGCTTTTCCACTCCTTGCTTAGATATATTGTAAACCATCGCAGTAGGAGGAAATGTTGATATAGGTACAATAATGCTTTTCATATTGGGCGGTGATGGATCCTTAGAACATCTTTTATGGGCAATGTATGTTCTAACTTTGGCTTGTACTTCAGTAGGCAACTAAGTAAAGTAAAATCAATCTTGTAAAGTTATAATACTTTTGGTAAATCTTAATATAATTGTAAAGCGTGTCTTACCGAATCATATTTCTGCCCAACAAAATTAGAAGGCTTACATTGAAGTAGTTGAATAGCTAAATTCACATCATTTCTATACCTTTCCTAAATATAAAAAATGATTATTTAAATTGTAGTACAATTCTAAATTATATTTTTTATGCTTATAATATAACCATTTAAGTGGCAAGCAGTATGAGTACACTTTTCAAATTTCATATCGTAAAAACCAATTACATTTAACAATCGCAGACAATTAATATATACTAGAATTCTATTTAAGTCAGTATGCTTAACTTTACTAATGCTTATCGGTCACATTAATACAAAACATTATTTAGATCTTCTCGATATGAATTGAAACAAGCACTATCGTACTTCACTTGAATCTTCTCAATAAGATTTTTCCAATGAGTCCCTGGGACTTCAAGGATTATTAATATAATATAACGTACATTATCTTGAGTCAAACGATGAATAGTATAATTAGCATCCGCCAATCGATGCGACAAAGTAGCTATATCCTTAGTGAAAGTACCCTTTTCGCTCTCACACTTGTCGACTATTCTTAGTAATTTATCTTCGAGATTTTGATTAACTTTTTGAATTCTTTTATGCGCATCATACAACCTTTGATATTTTTCTTGCCAAACGAGAATCTCTTCCTTGATCGAAGCCAACTCTCCGTTAGGAAATTTTTCAGCTTCGTTTAAAAATTGCGTTTCCATTGTTACAATATGGTTATCTCTTTCCAACAACCTTTGACGTAGATTTTCTATCTCTACATGCAAGTGCATGTCACATTGCCGAAGATCCTTCTCCGTACATTTTGTGCATTCACAGCCGCATTCCTAAAAAAAAGACAAATTCAGTTAGAGAATTTCAAATGGGAGTAATAACACATCGTATGAGTATGCACGAACACTACCTTTAACAAAAGCGCTTCTAAGCATTCTCTGTGCTTTAATCCAGCATAACATATTTATGACAAAGTGATTGATTCATGAACGGTACGTATGTGTGCGTGTATTTATATATGTATATATTATTTTATTATTTTGTTCTCTTAAATGTTTTGAAAACTCACAAAAATGAATGAGTGCTTTTCACTGTCACATACCTTACACTTTTCTGCCATAACGATTTTGATAAATTAAATGAAAAATAAGGGAAAAATATCATAGAATAGGCAGTTTTTGATACAGAAGCCTCATAACCGCCTTATTTAAGTCTCTAACACTAATATGGATCTATTTTCACTAATATGGAGTTATATTTATTCGGGTTCTTTAATTGTCAACATTATTATTCTACACAAAAATTCAAATTATCGCAATGAACGAAGAATAACGTTCACACGTTAGCCGAGAAATGTCACTGCGTTGTCAGCAGATCAAAAGTGAACAACTTCAACCGGATTTCCTTAAACTCTCTTTGTCTGCTGTCGTCTGCCACGCTTAAACTTAATTTTAAGCAGAGAAGACGTATATACATGTAGAAGAGAATATCTTACTCTCGTTAAGATTTGACTCGAAATATTTGAGTTATGTTGATAGTTCATTTTACTCCCGACAGATGGCGCATCGAAACGCCCTTTTAAAAAAGCTTGCTTTTTCCCGCGGATTCTATTCCCGATTAAATATTTGTATATTTCATCGAAACTACGATATATATATATATATCAACGTCATATGTAAAATTCATTTTGAAATAATTAATTGAAAAATTTAATTAAAATTAAAACATCGATTTGATTAAATCTAGATCTTTGGATTATTACTCTCTCCGTTAGGTCTGGCTTAGATCCGCCATTACTACTTATTTGGTTATCAAGGAAAAATGCGGAGAATGCGAATAAGTATAAACCAAAAAACTGAACTTATGGTGTAAGAAACGAATAAAAGAATTAAAAGAAAAAGTGGAAAAAAGATATGAAACGTAAGTGAAATTTAAATCCATGAAAGTACAATAAATCTTTAAGATAAAAATGTTGGAGAATTGGGTCGAGAAAAAAAAAGAAATTTGTAATAAAGAGACTATTGCTTGGCCAAAAAAAAAACTCTGCTAATTGGAACAATGTTATTCTCATACATTATTATAAAATTGATAAAATAATATGACAAATAAAAAAAAAGAAAGGTTCGGTATTGTTTGAAAAAAATATAATTTTATTAAATTGAAATTTGTGTTATTGAAGAATCAGAAAGAAAAATAATGTGAGAAAAACGTGATATCAGCATGGATGTCGATAGTAATTGTTATAGAAAAATACAAATTTCCCGTATTCCAGTAGGAAGAAGTCACAGCCACCGTAATCAGTACGAACGATAACGGCGAGACCGTTCGAAACGACATTCGTTCTATTTCCGTGGACCGATGTAAACCCACCTTAATCCGTGGAAAATAATACGAGCGAATGTACCAACAGTAACTGGAATCTATATTCTGTTTCGACGACTACATTCGGAAAATTCGTAAATTAGAAAAACGATTGGATGTTTGTTGACGTCGTCGTACAATCCACAAAAAAAAAGAAAAAAAAAAAAAAAAAGTAAAAACAATATTCTTCCTATCGTAACGTACATCGTACATATATTAAAAAAAAAGATGAATATAAATGAAAAAAATAAAGATAAAAAATAGAAGGAAAAAATAGTGTAACAATTGCTGTAATAACAAATCAAGAAAATCATAGAGAACAACATTGTCGAAAATAGAAAGAGAGAGAGAGAGAGCGTAAGTGATTGACGAAAGAAAAGGGGGGTAAAAGTAGTAAAATAACGATGATATGGAGTAGTCAGACTCGTGCGTTGTACACGAAAGCTCTGACTGACACGACGACGGTGGCGGCGTCTGTGGCGGCGGTGGCGGCGGCGGCGGCGGTGGTGGTGATGGTTGACAAGTGGTGGGGGGTGACGGTGGTGAGTATGTCGAGTGGTGGGGGTAGGAAAGCTGCGTGGAGACGAAGCATACACGGTGGGTAGTAGCTGCGCGAGACGATGAGAAAGGGTTTAGTTACGAGTGGGAGGAAGAAAGTAACTGAGGGTGGTTGGGTTGCTATGGTAGCTACCTCGGCCGGGGAGCAGACCCTAGTCTTGCCGTGGCGGTCGCCGAACGTGCAATGGCACGGTGCTCTTTATTTCTTGTGCTTGACTTCATTCACTAATTTCACTTAAATAATTGCCAAAGTATTTTATTGTTACTTTATACGAAACATTCTATTATTTTTTTTATCCCTTGCCTTCCCCTAAATTATCCCGATTTCTCTTTTATCGTAAATTATGTGATGTTTTATTCAAATGTGACGAAATATCGAGTGACAAGACGAACTGAGTGATTACGAGAAAGAAAGGAAGAAAACGCAAGAAATATATGTATATATAGTTATATGTATATAAGTATATATATATATATATATACGTATGTAGAGAAGAAGCTTGGACATATTTCGCGAATATATATATTATTCACGTCCAATTCTTCATTTTTTTCGTTTTGTTATATTTTAACTTCGATAAGGAGAACACTGAAAAGGAAAAGTGAAGAATCGTTCCTCCGAACGATCTGTGGCCGCGTGGCCAGACATTCTCTACGCGTACTATCTATTTCCCCAGGTGTCTACGGATTTCTTGGTTTCGATACGCGATGGAGGATCGCGACGATCATGCTGGGACATCTTCGAGAATTCGATCTCCTGGGAGTGTGATTCCTCAAGCTCGCTAAAAGGTTTATTATTGCTTACGTATTTCATATTAAATCAATTTTACTCTCACCTTTTCATTTCAATTTCATTTTTCTTTTATTAATATATTATTTTCGATCATTCAAATTCAATATACTATTTAATATATTTTCACGCGCGTATGTATACGCACACATCTACGTACGTGTGATGTATTTACACATGCTCGTGTATACGTATACGATCTGTTGTTGTTTTATTATTAAAATGATTATTCGAATGTGTGAATGAAAGTATGTATATGTTATCTGAATGAAATTATTTATTATCTGAATAGATTTTTGATCAAATTTATTTATCCGTCCATCATCGAATATTCAACTATCGTTATTTTCATCGAATAGACACTTCATACAAACATATATGTATTTTTGTATGTATGTATATAATACATACGCTGCAGTATACGTACAAAGTATCTCTTCTTTTCTTCACGGTGCAATTGGAGCCGTGGCAACTTTTAATGATCCCTTCCTTGCTATCTCGATACGACGTATACAGTCTATCCCCTACGTTTTTCTTCAAGATTATTTCAATAGTATATATTTTCCTGCGCTTCATTTGTTGTTCATTGATGACGAGCGAATGGAAATGGGAAGGAGGGCTTCATTATAATATCGTGGATTTTTTATTTTTTTTTTCTTAAGATAAAAAACAAGGGTAGAACAGGGCAATTGTAAGTAACGTTTTCTCTCTCTCTCTCTCTCTCTCTCACTTATGTTAAATATTATCATTAATTTTAGAAACAAGGTTTACTTACGTACTTTACTGCTTCTATACGTATATATATATGTATAAATGTACTTAGTTTAAAAGTAAAAAGTATCCAATGTCATGGGAAAAGTTGGCCAAGCGCATTTTCCAGAGTCAACGAGAAACGATAAGCAAACAACGGGTCACTATTACACGTTCGTGCTTGGAAAGGTGGATTTAAATATCCCGCTTAATTTCAAGCCGGATAAAAGATCACTCGACGACGACGACGACGGGGGTTCCTTTAGATCAAATAAAGGTTTCCGACATTAAGTTTGCGGAACTTGGGGAAACCGAAGGAAGTAAATTAGCGTTTGCTTTTTCTTTTTTTTTTTTTTTTAATTCCTTTCCATCTTCTTTAATTTCTTCTATTTCTTTTCTTTGTATTTAATTTTTTTTTTCTTTTTTTGCGTACTCGTTTGAACCACGTATTAATACGTTATTGACCGATCACGAACATACTCGTGATTACACATGCAAACAAATTATGCAATTATTAAAACATACAATTAAAGTTTAAACAAGGTTTTAAGTATTTCGCGTATGTTTTTTTATTTATTTGATTTAAAGTTAAAGTAGTGTTGTTAAAGTTAATTCTTATCAATTTTCTCTATGCTTTATTTTCATTTTTTCTTTTTCTATTGGGAAATATCTCTATCAGTTTCTTGTCAATTTTAATCGATGATTATATAGAATATTTAGGATAATTGTGAATTTAAATCATACACGCGATTCATCTAATTATTAAAATATCAGATTATGCAATTGGTTATTATAATATTGTTTATCGTGATTTGGTAGTGGTTTACTTAAATTTTGATATTACAAAACTTTTCCATTATTTTCATTATTTTTATACAATCATTAATATAGTCATGTAAAACGCATTTGATTTTTTCGTAAAATTTCAGATAATTTATCTATTTTTCTTTTTTCCTTGGAGAAGAACTTTTCATTTATTTTTATTTTTCATTTCGAAATGTCTCTATCGATTTTTTCGTTTCCTATCGACGATTGCAAAGAATTACTATTTTTTTTCTCTAGGTATATAAATTTATATATATATATGTTTAAGGAACTTGTAAATCAGGACGTTGATATCGTATCTGCAACGATCGCGAAACGGAGAACGTAGACAAAAGAAATGCATGAGATTCTTTCTCTTTTTCATCTCTTTGAACTTACTCATCGCCTTAGGGCAAATTTTTTCGCAGTTATAAGGAGAAGATACATTCCTCGCGATAGGAACGATACAAGGTTCTTCCTTTGGTCGACCGTGTCGACTTTATCGAGCGTCAATGAAGTCGGTTGGGTACTTCAGAAAAATAGACTACTATTTCTTCTTCACGAACATTTCTACTTTTTATATTTATTTCCATTATTCCCAAAAAGGGGATTTCTCAAGAATTACTGTACTTAATAAATGTCGTTTTTTGGTTGTTTTTTTTTTTTTAAATAATTTTTCTCTTCAATCGATATTGTTATTATTAGAAGAGAGAAGAACCACGAGGAAAAAGGATAAACGGGATAATGACATTGTGATTTTAGATAAACTATTATATTATCGATATAAATATAGATAAATAATTAAATTATTTAGAGAAAAATATTAATATATATATATATGAGTTTCAAAGGGAAATTAAAGACATTTAATAAATTTGATGAACAATTTATTATGACCTTGTTGAACGTTTCGTCCCTTACTGGGGACTTCCTCAG